GGGGTAGGGTAGGGATAGGGTAGGGGTAGGGTAGGGGTAGGGTAGGGGTAGGGTAGGGGTAGGGTAGGGGTAGGGTAGGGGTAGGGTAGGGGTACGGTAGGGGTAGGGTAGGGGTAGGGTAGGGGTAAGGTAGGGTAGGGGTAGGGATGTAATTTACAGAATTATACCTGGACGAAGTCAGGGCGGGCCGCTAGTATGAATTAAAGGTTTATCCTCCCGCAATAATATTTGTGAATTATACAAGTCACAAAGAGTAATTCTACCTACCCCCTTACAATATATTATGATGATATAATATTATACCTTTATCCTCAACATCGGCCTCCACTTGTACTTCAGTTTCGTTCAGCCCCTCGTCGTCTGAAGTTTCAGGTATCGGTGTCCTACTGCGGAATGATCGAGCTATGGACAAAAGTGATTAAGTTAGTAAAAGATACTTCATTGAACATTATTTTGTGTTGCTATTGTTTTAAAGATTTCTCTAACAAAAGAATTATCTTGAGCTGTATCACTTTTAGTTTACTGCTGAACACCATCCCTCCTCGTTACTCGTTTGAGGGGTTTAACGTAATCAAAACACTTGATAAATGGTTTGGGGATCGAATGGTCTAGTACCTTTTTATGGTTGTCTCTGTAATAGAACCCACTAAATCCCATGTTCAAGTCTCTACTAATACAGAAATCTTGCTTGAATGACAAACTTCAGGAGTAAAGCTGTTCAAGTTAAGTAATTTAACAAAAAAAAAACAGTACTGCTTTTTAAAAAAAAAAGTTAGATCATTTTATTTTATATGCATACTCCCTTTTGTTTATGCTTAAACTGTATAGTCGAAAGAGGTATAATAGGTACCATTTAGTATTCCATTCACATCTATATATTACACATTTTCTAAATATAGATAATATGCATAGACTTGTTATAATTCATTATTGTAATCAAAATATTGAAAACATAATTTATCATTTCATTCAACGTTATCGGCCTATCAAATCGGTTAGACGCAAGCATGTAATTAATTTCGGTTTTGTTTGCTATTTGCTTCACCAATTACATATAGTTAGGTTAGAATATTTCATTGTGGATGACAATTTTGAGTATCTGTTTTAATGTTTTAGGTAGTTACATTATTGTTTTTTATTTGATATTTTTTATTTTTTTCTACCTTAACATTTACTTTTTATTTTTTACAATTGTTAGTGCAAGGACCGTGCGAGACCTTCCACCCAAATGTTCTTTAGGTTGGTGTTGTTCGTCGGATCAGTCAGCCTCACCTGTTAATTGAGCTGATTGTAAACCGACACATGCGTACTGCCTTCAGAACGGGTCCGCTCAAACTGTTGTCGTTCTTTCCTTAAAAGGCCACTACAGAAAGAACTTGCACGGTTCTCACACATAATCTATTATACATATTTGTCTGGAATTTAAAAGAGATGGACCTCTGAGTTTCTTTGGTGTCTTCTTCTCACTCAATCCATTATAGGCATTATTTCTGATGTTGAAAGACTACTTTTGCCCTTAAAAATATACAAGTTACCAGTGGCTAGACTACTTACCACTGCATCTCTTACAACTCTCCTTCTTCTTCGGTGCATCAAAGACTTCATCTTCTATACTAAAATCAGATGACCTTCTGGACTTCTTCTCTCGCTCAGTGAAATCTGACTTGATCTTGCTCCTCATAAACTTGGCGTACGCTACCCTCGTGCATGGAGATACTGCTGCCAGTTGTGGATTGTATTCTGAAAGAAGAATTAATGTTAGATGATTTTACGTGTTTTAAAATGACAAGAAAATATCGAAGGTCTTTTTGAAAAACAGTTTAATCATATAGTTCACTCATTGGGATAGCTATTGCACCTAGCTTCACTGACAGACTGATAGACAATTCAATTTTGATGTTTCAGAAGTGCCTATTTAAGTTACGGATTTGTACGAGAGAAATTAGCATTAAATACCAAATAAATAACACATGTAGATGGCGTCCATTTGAGTAAATGAAAAAATCAATATAAGTACTTATTAATGACACTGATATTCGACAGATTATGGATTATTAGCAATAAACGCTTTGACTTTGACTTTTATAATCTCGGTGTAGTTACGGAATCAGCATGTTTGAATAAATATGAGAGATTTTATGACTCAAAGTTTAATTGTAAACATAACTTCGTCAGTCGTCTGCTTCTTCGTTTCCCCTACCCAATAAAAACATACCGCTGGCCTAAAAAGGATTTCCACAGCATTTTCCCTTTTTCGATGAAAGTCATAGTCTATCAAAAATAGAAAGTTTCCAAACTTTGTAATTACGTGGATAATTATGTTCAAAATAAACTTACCTAACAACTTCTGCGGGTCAATAGTTCTGGAGGAGATGTTATCAAGGATGTGCAGTCTGAGGGATTGGCGACTCCTCCTCGTCTGTGCCTCAGCAGTGGTGCCTATAGGATCCTTGCGGACGGTGTTTGTACGGACCAAGGCGTTCCAGTCACGTTTTTTGCTAAAACAGAAGTAAATTGGTATAAGTTTACTGATTTATAGGCCGAATGGCTACTCCTTAATAATAAAAGGTCTTGGCTAAAGTTCATTTGGGGCTTTAGCGATTTTATAAAATTCCTCAGAAGAAGCACGAACTTTGAAATTGTATCTGGGGTTTGGCCATAGCCTCACTCCCTATTACTTGGGTTTTGTAACTTAATTAGTTAAAAATTAGTGCTTCCTTTTTAGAAACCTAAAAGAACGAAACCACTTGCACAAAATTTATTAAATTATTTATTTTTTTACATACCCCTCCGTGCTTCCTCTCCTAACGATAGCTTTAGCGATTTGGCTGAACACATCTTTAGGCTTGTTCTCCTTGGATATAACGTCTTTGATGATTCCTTCCACTATTCCGATGTGGAAGTCCTTCAGGATTCTTCTCTCCATCACTTTGCCCTTTTTGCCAGCAACTAGAACACAGAATCATTGCGACATGAAGCGGCATTGTGTGCTTGATTTTTAATAATTGCTTTCTACACAAACTCCAAATGAAAATGGACTTAAATAGCATTTCCAATACTTGACTTGGTCGAGCAAAATGGTTGAGTATTTTAATGTATTTAAATTAAGAGAAAAAGAGATAGAATAAGAGACATAAAGACACAGAAAAGAGTGTAACGTTACTAATGACTAGAGACCGGATAATATGCAACATAAAAAGCTTGAAATATGCATGCAAATATGCATGAAAAATGCCTAAAATATGCACGAAAACTGACAGAATATGCAACATTAAATGAGTTTTTTTTTGTTTTGTAAATATTATTTCTTTAGATTTAAGTATTTTGCGACGTGAACACTTGTCTTGACATGTTGGTCTATTTGAAACTTTTTAGTGCACGAAATGTTTTTCTCGCAAACTCGACAATATAAAACATTTCCGTCGTAAGTAAATGTTCCAGGAAATTCACTTATCCACGAAGACACACTTTTTTTTTCGGGAGGCTTAGTACACACACAAAAACTTTTAACTGCAGGTGAATTATCCAAGCACGAGCGTGTCAACAATCAAAGTAATAATGACATGCATAATAGGTACCTACCAAAACAAAATACGCGCGGCTGCCGAGTGCGCTACACTCGAAAAATACCTACCTACTGTATATTATAGCAATAATATGCATCATCACTAGATATTAGTAAAAATATGCTATTAGCCTTGAAAATCGCTTAAATATGCAAATGCATATGCAAATATGCAAATGCATATTATCCGGTCTCTACTAATGACATACAATACTAACTAGGCCAAGTAAATGAAACGAGCCAACACCCTTAATAAATACAATAATTTTATCGTAAATACCATAAAAATGATATAACCATAGCACAAGAACTTAATGTACCAAAGCTTCTCTATCAGTCAGATGACCAGAATGATTAGTTATTGTTAGCTTCAAACCCATAAAATTAGTAGATATTAGTAGAAAAAGTTACACACCCTTACCGGTGGCGTCTTGCATACTAATCCTTGGGGTTTTCATGCCATTGTTATGGAGAATATCTATCAGCTCATATCGTAACGTGGAGATGTCCTGTCTGATCTCCATGACGTCATCTTCGGTGACTCCTGTCTCGTCTCTGGCTCGCTGTTCAGCTGTCACGTATCTTCGGACTAGGACCCTCATCACGGCTTCGTGTTCTTGGCGGGCTTTTTCGCGGGATTTGTTCTGAGTAAAATAGTTTTTTTAGTATGGAATGTTTTTCCGGTTTAGAAAGTTTGTAAGCCACTGATAGATCGCATTGATAAAGTGGTAGCTCTTAGATCCAGTCGAAAACTTAGAAATGTACATTTAAATTTTACCACGTGGTTTGATTTTTGTGGCTAGTTACCATAGATTAAGGATAATTATTTATTCTGTCACTAAGAAACCAAGTGTATTTGTTTGTGCTAATAGGCTAACACGAACCAAATGCAATTTCCAAATCTGATTACCAAAATTAAAAACCACTTACAATAATCGACCCCCGATCTCTGTTGGCACAGCATCGTTTGATCCAGCACATGAAGTGCTTAGGCGTAGGAATGATATTGAAGGGAGGAGGTACTGTGTCTCCATCCTCAAAGTAAGACATCCACAGGTTACTACGGGCAAATTTCCACTCAGTGTCCGATCGTTCCTGTCACATAAAAATACACCTTATCGTCTTGGTAAGAAGTTTGCTATTTGTGTAAAGGAAAAGTGACAAGATGGCGGAAGGTTTGCGATTCTGGAATGTTCTATAAGGTGTATATGGTATTGATAATGATATCATTAGTTGTGTTACATAATATTAGGAAGGTTTTCCTTGAACAGCTATTGTATCATATATCGTAATAGAGCTGAGAGTCGTAAAAATATAACAACTTATTATCACGCAAATGTAAATAACATTTGTATTGTGGTAATAAAATTATGTACGTATACCTATATCTCACCCCCTATTACATGGGACTCATAACATAAAATAGTGAAAAGTGGGTGCTACATTGTACAGTGGCATTAAGTGCCGTAATGTGCACCTTTGCATATGGTCGTGGTGGCCCGAAGGTTTCAGACCCGCTTCACATGCATGAGAGTGAGGTTTCTGGTTCGAAACCTACCAACAACAAGTACCAATTTGACTTTTTCCGAGTTGTATGTATTTTCTATGATTATTTAGACACCACTAATAAACGGTGGGAGAAAACATCGTGAGAAAACCTGGGCTTATAACTTGTAATTACAAATTTGAAATCGCCAACCCGCATTGAGCAAGCGTGGCGATTAATGTTCAAACCTCCGTGTGAGAGGAGGCTTTGCTCAGCTATGGGCATTTATAGGCTGTTGATTATGATGGTGATACCTATATAATGGCCTATTGTTGAGCTATTTGGAAATAAAAGACAGAACTCAATAATGCAGTTATTTCAAGTATCGAAACTCTATATTTTCAAGCTGTCATGCTCATGAAACTATGGAACAGAAACAATTTTTCATGGAAAAAATACAGGAATGAAAAATAAAAAAGGATAATGATACTCTTACTATCTAAAAAGTGACTATTTTAAATCGGTTTTGGCGTGTCAATACACAAACAAATAAATCTTTCTTTTACGCACTAATGCGACTTACCGAAATAATTTGATAAGAGTTGGACATCATAGCAATCAGCATGTTCAGGAGTACGATGATGTTGATCACGGAGTATGACCCGAAGGTCAGGAGTGCCCAAAACCTGGTGAAGCTCTTGATACCTGTCAGCTCGAAGGTGGTCAGGTCTACTAGACCGAAAGACGCCCAAAATAGAGACTGGGAGGTTTCAAATAGACTGGAAAGAAAATTGGTATTTAAGTGTTATTTTTCAAGTTCGATTTTTATAGTTAGTTGGTGCCGATGTTCAGCTACTATCTCATCTGAAGGTAAGCTGTGAATTCAATAACATAATTGGCAAAGGGTGGCTGTGTGTGGTACATTTATTGAGCAATCTTGAAGTCTTCAGTAAGGAAAGTGAATTTACTATGGTATCTGTTAAACTTGCAACACCAGACTAGTAAGTACAATATTGGCCATGGGTGGTAGCTATACAACTCTTTCTTTTCGTCTCGCTCACTCCTAGCAAATCAATCTTGCCTGATGAAGTGAAAGAGGTTTGTAAGAATCGTAGCAATTGGCGTTCCATCGTTTCGGCCTACCCTCATGGGAGATAGCCACAAAGTTACCGGGGCTCCGGCTTGAAGGGCAAGAGTAGGAACGGGGTGGTTTTTAGTTAGTAAGAGTCTGACACTCCCTACCGCCTCACCCAGGCGGGAGAAGTCATTCGATGATTTAGCCCCTCAAAAAAAAAACCGATGGGAGACAGGCGTGTATGTATGTATCAACTTCAAATTGTCTAGATAAGTTCATCTTTGCATGTCTTGTTGAAATCTGATGCTATAGAAGGGACTTTATTTTTATTTCGGTAGAAAGCTAAAATAACTGAAAAATATGTTTCTTACTTAGCATATCGTCTCCAAATAGTGCAGGCTCGTTCTTGACCGTCGAAGTCAGGGATTCCATTAGGCAGATGGTAGCATTTGTTCTTCTCTAGTTCCGCATAGTACCACATGAGTTGATTCAAACCTGTATCAAGAAGATTGATACTTAATGTTAATAATTTTAATTAACATTACATTTAAAATATACGACTGCTTCGTTGGCCGACTGGTCGCAAGTGCGACTGCTTGCTTTGACTACTGGGTCAAAGTCAAAGTCAAAGCATTTATTTCAATTAAACCATAATTTGGTACTTTTGAAACGTTAACAAATACAAAATAAATAATAGTCTGTCAGTCAGTCCGTCAGTGAACCTAGGTGAAGTCAAGTCGGGCAAAGTATTACTGAGTTTTATTAAAAAAAATCTCAGTAGTAGCGCGGAGTCTGAAATTGTGCCGGTATATGTCTCACCACTAGGCTCACCCCCTATTACATAGGACTCGTAACATAAATAGTGAAAAGTGAATGTTACATTGTACAGTGGCATAATGTGCACATCTGCCTACCCCTTCGGGGATAAAAGGCGTGATGTTATGTATGTGTAGGTACTTGGCATTAGTCTCAAGGACTTTCTATCGCTCATTTCCTAAATAAGCCCATCGTTTTACACCTTGTATAAATGAAAAGTTGTCAATAAGAAGAAGAAATACTAAAAACATTAATAGAAGTAAAAAATATTATTTTCTACTCACCACATCCAAAAGCAAATAACACCAGCATGTACACAAAGAAGAATTTCAAAATATCCAGGATCATTCGTCCAAGGGAGACCTGAAGGGGTCCAAGATAAGGGTTGATGGAGAAGATATGGACCAGCTTGAGGAAGGAAAATATCATGCCGGCTGCGAAGGCGCCCTCTGAGAGCAACATGGGGTCATAAGAGTCCCATCTCTCTCGAGGATACCAGGGGTCTGTTCCTGAGTTGTAGTCTCGCTGTTGGTCAAGATATTTGGGATTAATAAATTATTCACACTCTGCAAAGATTATTATCCAGTTGAAGATAGCTAACTTGAATCACTAAATTATTTTTTATACCTGAAACTATCGTTGCATATTTGTCTGAAAAGCCGGAGAATCTTAGGCATGTTTTTCATTACTTTACCAGTTTCACAGAAACAAATAAATCTGCTTATCAAAATACGAAATTAACATATTACGATATAATACACAATACATTATTAACCTACCTGGACAATATACCAAGAAGAAAATCGCAAGCTGATCCAGGCGATGTAGAAAGCGTTTGTGATGAAGTCCACAATGTTCCACAGATCACTGATGTACTCTGTGATGCCACCTGTCCATAGTGATCTTATTTCTGCCCAGATTAAACCTGGAAACGGTATAATGTTAGTTTCTGTTGGTACCAATATGTTTTGCCACATGTATATGTATCGAGTTAACGTTTATCTAGTTATATTTCATTTAGGTATTATTAAGGTAAAAGGAAATAAAGCGTGTTTAAAAAAGATAAAGAAGAAATAAGAGACAATTTACAAAATTACAAAAAATATGTGAAGTATTTAAGAAAGACATTCATAAAAAATTTAAATGTGACAAAATTAATGTAGAATATACACAATTACTAAGAAATATACAAAATATTAAGACGCCCGCTTCTTATGCATGACGGTGCAGCGAAACCTACCAACAGCAAGAAATAGTGCAACTTTTTCCAAGTTACATGTACTTTTTAAGATTATTTAGACATTATTGACAAACGGTGAAGGAAAACATCGTGAGGGAACCGAAGCTTATAATTTCTAAATATTATTTTAAAATTGGGTGATGGCGATTAATGCTCAAACCTTCTCCATGTGAGAAGAGGCCTTTGGTCGGCAGTGGCCACTTATAGGCTGTTGATGTAGTAAGAAAAAGAATCGACCATTTACACATCAGTACAAACTTTGAAATATCACTCGTCATGATTGTCCTATTGAAATTGAAATCAAATGGTCAAACCCTCCATTATCACATTTCCCTAAAACAAATATAAAGCAGCACCACAAAGAACACCAGGGCTTTTAGCCAAACGCCACTTTAGCGCTTGTCTACAGAGAGAGTAGAAAACTAAATGTATGGGTATGACACTGACAAGTGTCAAACTTTATGTCAATTCCATATAATTTGGTTTTCTATTCTACATGTAGACAAGCGCTAAGTGGCATTTGGCTACAACTGCAGATTACAAAAAACCAGAAAATAGAAAAAAGCATGCCAACAAACGCAAATTTACTTGCTATGTAGATGATGACGCTGAATTCTATGATGCTGGGCAAGGATCCTCGCTCCCTCTCCTTCCAATGGTCCACCAGCTCCTGGAGCCAGGTAATTCCAGACCACTCTAACACCAGGTAGTCTGCTCGCTGAGATGCTAGGGATAGGAGAGCTGGAAGGAAAAAGTTACAGGTGGTTCATGTTACTATATATGGAAATGCAGATTCATCCTTACTAATATTATAAATCGGAAAGTGAGTTTGTTTCTTTGTTCTGCTTTCACGCCGTAACTACTAAACCGATTGCTTTGATTTTTTGCAGACGTAAAGTTAGAAGTCCAGATTAAATAATAGGGTACTTTTTATCCCGGAAAAGTTGCTATTTCCGAGGGAAAACAAAAGTATTAGTATAGATGGCGCTGTGTATATGTCACATAGGCTACTTTCTATCCTTTTGTGACGCGAGCGAAGCCGCGGGTAAAAGCTAGTCTCTTATAATTAGAGGCGCCCGTGGGAACCTTCTTAACGTACTAGGTAAATTGGACTTAATATGGTAATGCTAATTATTAATTTCTATCAATTGACTGAACGGTTGGTGCGGTGGCTGGGCAACCGGCTGTCGCGCAACGTGTCGCGGGTTCGATTCCCGCATGAAACAGCTCTAATCTACAAGTTGTTGTTTCGGATCTGGGTGTCATGTGTATATGGACTTGTATGTTTGTAAACGCACTCACGACACAGGAGAAAATCCTAGAGTGGGGCAACGTGCAAAAACAAACTTGACGAAACTACAAATAGGATTACATTAAAAATAAAGTTTTTTTCGACACGACCAATTTGTTTCAATAATACCTAAATACCATTTAAACATTGGTTTCCTATATCCCACATTTATGTTAACCTCTTTCTATCCATTAAGATAAGCAAAGCCAACTGTCAACATTAATTTAGATAGGTACGTACTTAAGTAGCCTTTTTTAAACATTTTTCTTACCAAAAAATACTATTTTATTTTGGTAAATAGGTCACAAAACTGCTTCTTTACTGCGTACATTGCGCACAATTTTACATTTAGTGCTATTAAAACTTACAGATAGAATAGTATTTTATTCAAATGTAGTGATAAATAAATGTAATTGGTTAATTGGTTAATAAATATAAGTGTAACTGTAGGAGAGCCATGCTTCGGCATGAATGGGCCGGCTCGACCGGAGTGATACCACGGCCTCACAGAAAACCGACGTGAAACAACGCTTGCGTTACGTTTCGCCGTGTGAGTGAGGTTACCAGCGGCCCAATCCCCCTCCCTTGTCGCGGAGAACCTAACGGGTAACCGGGGCTCCGGCTCGACGTGCAGGAGAAGGAACGGGGTGGTTTTTAGTCAGTAAGAGTCTGACACTCCCTCCCGCCTCACCCAGGCGGGAGCAATCATTCGATGATTTTCCCCCCTTAAAAAAAA